AAAAAATAAGAGAGACGAGGTAATACTAATGTTGTGGGTGAACGTAGCAACTCACTGTGTTTTTTATTGAATAAGAGATGACCTTTAAATAGCCATTTTACAACGTACTGAACTAACAAGAAGATAATAAAATATCTTATCAAATCAAAACTTATCAAAAAACTATCTTATCTAATCTGAAACAAAATAACTCAAAAGATAAATCAAATAATTCCAGATAACTTAAATCGGATATCTCGGATATCTCGGAATCTCTAGAAATTTAAGATTTTCCAACAATCATGGCATAGAGGTAACAACCTAATTGCTTTTTCATCCTCAAAGTGGTCCTTAATTCTATATCTGTATACAACTGTATGGAACCTTGTTTGTATGTGTCAGACTATCTGGACTTTATGATGCTCCCCTCTCGCATGAAGCTGGATGTTCAATTATTAAGGAAGCCTTCGACATGAGTGTTATCTTCTTTGATACATCAGATTTTTATGGACTTAATCATCACAATGAAATTATGATTGGAAAGGTAACATATTATCCTGCAAATTATTATTTTTAATTGATTCTAAGTGCCAACAATACATTATCCTTTATGTTAGCCGCAGATTATATTCAACTATTAAAGGTCAACCATTATTTAGATTTTGTTGTGATAAAATGGCATGTACTGCATCACGAATTTCATTATAATATGACATAATACAAGTTCCTTTAAGCAATCAACAAGTGGGAAAAAAATTACATTTAATGTGCTTAGTGATTTGATTTCTTTGCTTCTGTCTTCAGGCTTTGAAAGAACTTCCTCGAGAAAAAGTTCAGTTGGCTACAAAATTTGGTCTTGTTAGATCTGATGGGGTGTTTGCTGGGGTAAAAGGTACCCCTAAATATGTGAGGCAGTGCTGTGAAGCTAGTCTTAAGCGGCTTGATGTCAAGTATATTGATTTGTACTTTCAACATCGAGTTGACATTTCAATGCCAATTGAGGACACTGTAAGCTTTCAGTGGTTTTCCTCTCTTATCAGTTATGCATTACTTTCAGGCACTTTTAAATTCTAGATTGTATATGCTTTAAAATTGGTCTTTCTAAGGAGGATGGGGGAGCTCAAAAAGCTAGTAAATGAAGGTAAGGTAAAATATATTGGATAGACACAAGCTAGTCCTGAC